TGGCTAGGGGTTTCACAATCCACATTTCATCTTGTGCTCAAATCAGCTTCATCTGTAACCCAGTTTTCACTTGAATTAAATATTTACTGTAGGTTTTTCATTGTACTATCAGTTTAAAGATTAATTTATCATTTCTGAAACTGTGCCTCTTGAAATCCAGGAATGTGCTTAAAGATTACTGAATTATATGTTACTTCACATTGAGAAATGTTTTAAACTGGCTATCATTTAAACTGACTACTTGAACTTGATGTTTTATAAAAAATGTTCAGTATTATTATTGACTTTATGAAATCCGACAATGTGAAATATGCGCAACTCTTTAAAAACCATTTGTTTGTGCCAATAAGATTATCTTCTTTAAACTAGGTAGACTTTGTTCTTATTTATTTTCTCATTGTGGTTTAATAAATGATTGATAAACACAAATTTCATTTAACGGAGTGTGCATTTTGTTTCTTTATCCCAGTTTTGACAACATTGTAACTGTCGTTTAAGTATGTGTTAGTTTTGTTTAACTGTCCTTTTGTTTTACAAGTTGTCATTTTTCGCAGAGCCCAAATGCGACCCAACAGGCTTTGGGATCTTCTCGCGATTTGTGCAAAGTTCGCAACAATATGATGTTGTGATGTGGTTAATGCACCACAAACGACTCCTCTGTTTTCTTCCAGGTCAAGTCGGTTATCAACCTGCTGTTTGCGGCCTACACTGGAGATGTGTCTGCTCTGAGAAGGTACCGCTCCACCAATAAATCATGTTTTTTGCATTTCTGAACACAATTTGTGCAGTTTAAATCTTGAGTTTCTTACTTCACGTGTGTTTGCGCAGGTTTGCGCTCTCGTCGATGGATATGGAGCAGAGAGATTACGACTCTCGGACAGCCCTTCATGTAGCTGCTGCTGAAGGTGGAGTGCCAGGAACTCATCAAACTCTGCAACTATAGATATTATCATGCTCTTCAAGCCTTAGGCTTGCTGACTTGCTGTTTGTTTCCTCTGCCTGACCTCATTTTCTCTCTGTGCTGAGTGGAAATCTTGCTAATATACACTTTTGTTTTTTTTTGTTTCAGGTCACACTGAGGTTGTACGTTTTCTTCTAGAAGCTTGTAAGGTGAACCCGGTGCCCAAAGACAGGTAAGAATATGAAATACTACAACAAAGATCTTGTTTTGTGGCATAACTGTTAAAACCACCTATATGTGAAAAGTGGGTCACAAAATGAGCAACGTTATAAAGCTGTATTCAAGAAATTGACCATCTTGATTTGTTTATTGTTAGCTATTTTAAATATATTTTCATACATTTGAAAGCATTTATGTGTCAATTCATTGTGCTTAAATATCCATACATTTATTAGGCATAATATAATATAAAATAAAATTGTTTATAGAAATGAAAATGGATACTGTAACATTGGATGTTTTTTTTTTTATTTTCACGATGGTTGCAGTTCATTATTATTTATTATTGCAATTAATAATTATCATTAATTAATTTAATTATTTTGTTTAATTAACGCTTACGTTTTATTAGTTTATCAATTTCATTTATTATTTAATTTAAATAATTTTTTCTTTAAAGATAGTTTATGAATTAAATTTCAGAAGTTGTTTACATTATGTTTATTAGGTAGGTATCATAAACTAATAATTAACAATCAACAGCATTGATTACTCTAGGTTAATGTTAATATCGATTTATAATTTATTAGCGTAAATTTAAATAAACAAAAAACAAGATTAATAAATGCTGAGAAAGTATTGTTTATTGTTAGTTAATTTATTTTAGGAATAAGTCATGTGTAACAATACATAATAGATTTAACATTAAATAAACATTGATTTAATTAATTAAATAATAATATTTATAAAAATTACAGATAGAAAAATATTAATGTGGATTGCATACTATTTTGGATGTTACTTTTATTTTTAACATAATTATTAGACTATAACTGTTTTTTATCTTTTTAAAATAAAATTATAGCAACACTTTACAGTATGTTGTCAGAACAAGTTTTATAAGTTTAACTATTTATTAGTTACGTATCATAAATGAATAATTCATTTTTTAAAGCATTTATTGTTTGTTGTTTACAAGTTTTAAAAAAAATTGTTTGTTATGAATCGTATATTTTTAATGGTTGTTGTGTACACTCACCCCATTGTCTTCCATTTAAGTTATTTAAATTTTTTACATGAAGAAATTACTTAAAGGGGTCCTATTATGCTCTTTTACAATGTCTTGAATTTGTTTTGGGGGTGTACTAGAACATGCTCTCATGCTTGGTGGTTTGAAAAACGCATAATGTTTTACATAATTTACAGTATTACAATACCTTTCTGCCCAGTCTGGCACAAACGGCTTGATTAGTTCCGGGTTTGATGAAGGCCCGCCTTCCGAAAAACGAAAATGTGATGTGATTGGTTAGCTGTCCCAGTGCGTTGTGATTGGCGAACAGTTTAGATGGTGTTTCAGCCCCGCCCCTTGCCAAAGCAGCAAGTTTAGTGAAGGATGGCGTCAATATTGCCATATCAAAGTTCTTGAAAAGGGATTTTTTAAAAACGAAAATATGTCTCTTTGGAGTGGACTTTGAGATTTGTAAGTTTGAAGATATTTTTTATGCCCAAACATACACACTACACACTGACTAAAATTCAAAAAGTGAAAAAGCATAATAGGACCCATTTAAAATGATAATCAACAGCACACAACAGATGCTGTTTCGTTTGATCCCCATACAGGTGGGGTAACACTCCCATGGACGAGGCCATTCATTTTGGCCATCATGATGTCGTAACAATCCTGCAGGACTATCACAACACCTACAGCCCCAAGGAGACCACTGCCGACAGCGACAAGGAGACGGCCGAGAAGAACCTGGACGGGATGCTGTAGAAATGATCTGTCACGTTAAAACACTCCAGATTTTTCCCAGTGAGTCTGTGTGTCTGAGGTACGCATTTGAGAAGAAAACATACAAGACACAAAAAAAAAGTCTTTGGGCCCCTTCACCCTGTTTTGTGGTGTTCGCGCGTGCGTGTGTGTGTGTGCGCTGTGTAACCTCCATTAACATGGTAAGTTTGTTTTATCTTACACTCGAGGGAATGTAGCCTCATAAAGGTCTTATTTAGCTGTAGCTCCACGTAAACACAATATAAATTGAATATACTCAATACAAGTATATATATAAAAAGTGTATACATAGTTCACGTACATTCATTTATGGTTTGAGAACCTTCATAGATAATGATGTCAAATAGATATGTAAGATATCTAAGAAAAGGCAGCTTGACTGGAGAGGGTAGCATTGGGAGGGATGTGTCATTCTGATTTATTTGTTTTTATAATTTTACCCCATTTCTTTACCCTTGACTTTAGTCTTAATTTAATTATAAATCAACATGAAGAACAAATGTAGTTCTTTATGCCTTTAATTTGTGTATTATGTTGTGAATATGTTCCAAATATGACACTGTTCTTTGATTGTGAAAAAAAATCACTTTTTTTAATTTGTATCATATTTATTTGTCTTTCAATATGTTTTTTAATTAAAATAAAGTAACACTTTACATTACGTTTTTTTTTCTAAGTAAGTTTTACAATTATATTTAACATTAGTTAATTTGGGTATCATACTAATAATTAACAGAATTTATTAATCTAGGCAAATAAGAAATATTCTTGTTCATTGTTAATTTATGTTGGTCCAAAATAGTTTATGCTGTCAATTTAAAATGTAACGGGGTATGTTGTTCATTTAAAATGTTTAAAAAGTAGTATCTGTAAAAATTAACAATAACCAAGATTCATAAATGTTGTAAAAGTATTATCAATTGTTAATTCATGATACACATCTACCTAATGTTAACTAACTGAAACTTATTGTGACGCGTTGCCTAAATTACTTTTAAGCACTAGAAGGAACTTTTTCGTGCCAGCCTGTTCAATGAACTACAGGAATTTCCTGTATGTGATATATACTGTATGTGCTTAATGTCAATGAATGAAACTCGTTGTGAATTGTCACCAAAATTACTTTGACACTAGAAGGACCATTTTCCACCTGTATGTTCATTATACTACAAGAATTTCCTGTATTTGATACCTACATAAATTTACAATGTTTAAATTTGTTAGCCTAAGTGCCATCAAAATTACTTTAAAACTCTAGAAGGCCATTTTTATACCTGCCTGTTCAGTGTACAACAGGAATTTCCTGTATTTGATAGCCATCTACCTAACTAATGTAAACAAATTGAAACTTATTGTAAAGTGTTACTTACTTTACATTTATTTTAAAGCACCAAGAGGAAAAATTTCATACCTGCCTGTTCATTGTACTACAAGAATTACCTGTATTCAGTATCTTTATACTTTACAGTTGTTAAAATTAGTGAAGTGTCAATAAAATTACTTTAAAGCCCTAGAAGGACCATTTTTGGACCCAGACTGATTGTATTACAGGAATTCCCTGTATTTGATACTTATCTGCTTAACTAATGTAAACCATTTGAAACTTTTTGTAAATTGTTACAGAAATTACTTCAAAGTACTAGAAGGACCATTTTCCACCTGCCTGTTCCTGAATTTCCGGTATTTCATACCTATATAATTTACAGTAAATTTCAGTTTATTAATATTAGTGAAGTGTACCTGCCTGTTCAGTGTACTACAGGAATTTCTTGTATTTGGTAGCCAGCTACCAAACTAAAGTTAACAAATTGAAACTTATTGTAAATTGTAACTAAAATCACCTTTTCATTGTACTACAGGAACTTCCTGTATTTTTGAACAGGAACGTTTTTCAATACTTAAGCATAATGGCAATCTTATGGCAGTTGCTTAATGAATAATCATGTGGAAAACCAACACAAGTAACATCCAAACTGGGTTGCAGTGTCACCTTTGGTTCTTCTGCAAGATATTTAAATCCAGGATGTGAAACTGGATTTGTTGTGTGATTTAGTTTAGCGATCATATGGAAAAAGAACCAAGCAAAAAATTTATTTTCTGTTTTATTCTCAGTACATGGGTGAAATGACAAGTAAGATTGAAAGTCGAATATAAACAAACAAAAATGCACTGGAATTAACACTGACTACTATGGTCAAAATGAAGTCTAAACGTCCAGTCAGTTGTGTAATTTGGTGAAGTAACTTCATAAATGGTTGGTTTCATGTCTATAAGCACGTTGTATGCGGAAAAGCACATTGGTTGTTCTAATGTACAGTACGGACGACAAAGAGGCACACGTATACTTGGAAAAACCTCCAAAGCTAAGTCGATCTCAACTATGTGAATATTTTCTAGTGGGACACTGTTGTTAAAGTATTGTAAATGTGTTTTGTAATGGGTGTGTGGATGTACACAATTAACGGTGGACAATTTGTTATTTATTGGAAAAAAAAATTAAGCGACTCAACAGTACAAACAAAAGTAGGTCACTGATCGTATCCAACTTCGTTCGTTAACCTTGTCATATTTTACTCCATTTTTGTTGCATTGTGTAATTTCTTGTTTTTGCGGAGAAAGCGGTTACAAATTTTTTCTGCATTTGTTTATTACTGCTATGAATGTATTGCGTTGTTGTTGTTGTGATATTTTGTGTTCCTTTTCATTTGCTTTTATTATTTAATTATGCTATGCTGTAGATGTTCTAGATTTGTTTGAATTTAATGTCAAAGCTGATCAATATATTCCACACAAGAAATACTAGATAAAAACAATAAAGACTTTGAACGTACATAGCTTTTGATATTCATTTTTCTTATCTTGTAGCTGTACATCCTTCAGACAGATATCCATTCAATGGATATCTCAAAGATGTAATTTTTTGCCATTTTAAAACATTTTTGCAACGTTTTTCAACATTTATATGTTTGTCTGTTTTTAACGTTTTTCACACATTCGTACACAATACCTTTTCTTTCGCCAATGTGGGGTTTGCGTATTGTTGGTCTGTGCCGAAAGTTTCTAAGGTGCAGATGTTTAAGTCATTCCAAACAAGATGGATTCCCACAGTAATAACTTTCTATCATGTCCAAAACAAATAAGACAAAAACAAATATTGCTCTGTAATTAAACACAGCAGTACAATCCAGTGCAAACGTGAGAAATGACAACATTAAGTGCATTAATTGAACATAACACTAATAGAGCACCAGCAAGTTAAGGAAAATCTCAAGAAAACTGGTCATATTTTTTTTCACATATTTAGAAACGGTGTTTGGAAAGTAAACACCTAGCATCTTAAAAGGCTTAGTCAGACCTGAACTCCTGCATGTCATAGTTCTTTCTGGATGAATCTTTGGGGTGTTTTATCCCAAAACCAAACAGAAGAAACAAAGAAAAGAAAGCCTATTTTTGGACCAGTTTTGTTGAGGACCATTGTGTTTTGTTTTTGTTTGTTCACATTATTTTCATAATGTATTTTTATTACTGTAATACAGTAATTTTGTTATTACAGTTAAATTCCTGTACTACAATAATTTATTCTGATTTGAATACAAAAATCCAAGGCACTATGACATATACTGCTCTTATGTAATGTTTTAGAATTAAAAGTTGTCACATTAATTTAAATCAAATATTTGATTGCATTACAGTAAATGTTAATTAAACTCTTAAAAAATCTTATTAGTCCTAAAAAATAGGTTTAATTTTCTTTACAGAAAATAAGATTTTGTGAAATTTATCCATCTAGCTTTTTTGTTCACTTTCTCCTCCGTTTCTATTACTTGGCATCTAAGAAAATTAAGTGCTATTCATTCACAACTTCACTGTCTCAAACATTTTCGAGAATGAGTGCTGTGGTAACAGTAGCATTACTATGGGGGTTCATTCGATCTGTTTGGTTGTCTTTATGCTATAGTTGACAGTGTTTTTCAAATAACGTTATAATGAAAAAGAGGACAACTAAACCCAATGGCTATACCTGGACTAGATGTTCCTCTTTCATTTGTATTGTAGAAAAAACACAGAATGAAGGAAACATTTCTATTTTTTCTGCATCATCTGTCCTTTCAGGTCACTTACGAGAGACTTAAGTCTGAGGGCTGTGAAAAAAACACAAAAAAACAGTATCAGAATCTATTAAAATTTTATATTTATATATACATAGGAATAATAGTACTCTACCTCAAATTTTAACGAATCGGTGACATATCGGTTCTAAAATAAAGAGAAATGGAGAATAAGTGCTGTTAATATTTTAAGTATTTCTTTAAATGATATTGTAACTGTTAGGGGTGTAACGGTACATGCATTCGTCCCGAACCGTCACGGTACAGACGTCACGGTTCGGTTCATGCAGTCAGACGACGAATACAGTCAGTCACAGGCGATCAATCCAAATCCAATGCAACGCTAACCGTCACAACAGGAAAGAGCAGAAGAAGAGACAATCTACGCACCAACCCAAAGCAAGAACCGTTTTTTTGTTTTATTTTGGCCGATCTTATTCCAGAATTGCACACGAACTGCATTGCAGTCATTTCCCAAAATTTAATTTGTGTGGAATTTTTATGAGGTCTGTAAAAAGGAGAAAATACTGTATCAGGCAGATCAAGCTCACTGTTTGCGATGCTCAAAATATAGGAAGACAAATATGTGGGGGTTTATATGATTGTATCTCTGAGAAGAGCTGACCATCTTCAGAAATGTATCAATGGTCACCTCCATATAATGCATTTTAAAGTAGTGTTTATATGTGCAGCTGCTTTGTTTACAGCGGTAACCAAGGAAACGCTGTATGATATCGCTGCTGTTCCATAAGCGCCACCTGCTGTCAGAGAATAAATCTGCATTTACATTCAGTCCGTCTGCTGTTTTTGTTTTGTGCAGGTGTCTTATGTAGAATCATTTCACAAATCTAAAGTCAGACCATTCTGTGTTTGCTTTAAATCTTGAAATTATACAATCTAATTCAAATCAAAAACAACTGCTCATGTTAAATGTATTTAGCACTACTGTCTTTTCAAAATAAAATAATTAAAAAAAAAACATTTCCTGTTGTACCGAACTCATATCTAACCGTGACCCCAAAACTGAGGTACGTACCAAACCGTGATTTAGCTTTAAATCTTGAAATTATACAATCTAATTCAAATCAAAAACAACTGCTCATGCTAAATGTATTTAGCACTACTGTCTTTTCAAAATAAAATAATAAAAAAAAAAAAACATTTCCTGTTGTACCGAACTCATATCCAAAACTGAGGTACGTACCAAACTGTGATTTCTGTGTACCGTTACACCCCTAGTAAATGTATAATTATCATTTTTCATACCATGCGCTCCAGCTCGCCGTAAACCTCAGGCGACATTGGCATGAGTGTGTCGTTATAGTCTTGGGGCTGCCTAAAATTATTTAAAAGCAGTTATTTTTGCAGTCCTGTTTGGTAGCAGAGGAATGATATTTTAAAATGAATGGAAAGGATTCATTTATGTGCCGTTTACTTTTTTTTTTACTTAATCGGAATGGTTTGAAATTTGGCAAAGGTTTTGGAGCTTGCTATGTGAACACAAAAAAATAAATAAACATGGACATGATTTAAAAGGGTAAACGGTCCTGAAAAAAGCAGTCAAACTTATGGTGTGTGTGGCTGTGTGCACACCAACACCGAATGTAATTATTTGTACGAGTAGATTACATACAAAGTTGATGCAAAGACGCACATAAATGCGTCGGGCAGCGAGAATGATGCGAATTGGGTGACACGATATTCATAATATTTGCCTCAATCGCACCTTCCACGCAAATTGACAAATTTAAACTTGAGCAGGAAATTCGCATTATGCGCTGTCACGTATCCAATCAGCGAAGAGCTTATTGACACATCTGGTTTGAGACGTCTAAGTGTACCAGAAAATGGAAGAGAGCATGCGTGATGTTTTTATTCGTGCAAGTGACACGAAAAATATTCTGCGAGTAATCTAGAGTGATAACGCAATGCAAATGTTCGCTTCGCTTTGTGTGCACACACCATTATACTGTTTGCAATAAAAAAAAAACTACAACATTAGAAATGAACGGGAAGTTAATTTCATCTAGTGGAAATGTTTGGAACTGCACCCAAACACAATCTTACTGAAAGCTAATTTTTTGTGATATCGACCTCAAATTTGGAACACAAATTGCTTAGGCTTGGCTTTGATTTTCATGCAGTTTTAGAGTAAAACATGTTTTGGAAAATATATATATTTCACATAAAATATTAAAATTGTATTTTGTATATTTTTCGTAATAAACTTCTTGAACTCTTTTTTACTTTCACTTTTTTTTTCACTTTAGAAATTATCTGACAGGTTTCTTCTTTAAACAGTGGCCAAACGTAAGTCTGCTCCAAAGCATTCAAGGTTTACCACACTTTTCAGGTCTATACAGGTAATAAATGGATCATAACTATTCCATAAATATAATTTAATCCCATGAAATATCCTAAAATACAAAATATTAAGTAAAAAACATCAAACTAAAATACAGTATATTCATTTGACCACTATGCAAGCAGCATCAGAGGGTTAACATTGACTTACATTTCAGAGACGGAGATGAGAGTGGTGCTTATGTATCCCTCATGTGACTTATTATCCACATCCATTGGTTCTTGCTCTGGATAAACAAAAGCATATCTTTGTATATATACATTTTTTAATACATTTATTCATGTTTTACATGGTTGTGTGTTTCTTACTGTCGGTAGGTTTGGAGTAGTATTTTTTGAAGGCCTCGTCTTTGGGTATACTGGGATATAGGAAGCGCAGAGGGTTTTCTGGGACGTTGTCGGCCGCCATCACGCGATAATTGCGAATGATATCAGGAAGTGAGACGGCAGAGAGTTCCTTCTTCGTGTAGGGCTCCACGGAGCGAATCTGTGGCTCTTCTAAACAAACACAACACCAAACCTATGTAATGAATATTAAATTTGCAAAACAGATTTGATTTGAAGCCAAAGTTTAAGCGAAACCCACATCCAAACCCAAATTAGCTGTTTTTTTATGTTTTGATATCAAGACCGGATACATTTGTTTTAATTAGTCCTTTATTGTTCCACAGAGTGAAGGAACGTCTCACCGTTTGCGTCATGTTCAACCCAGCTGAATGTGATGGCTCCGTCACGGTTGCTCTCGCTGAAGCGCAACAGAAATGTCCCGGAAGCTTTGTCATGTAGCAGAGCTTTAGTTCGGTCCTTGGTCACAAAGCCCATTATACAGCTGCGAAAGATAGACAGGGTTAACACAGAATTCCATTGTGCAAGTCTATTACTATAAACACAATTTTTGGCATCTTTTTACACTTTAAAACTTTACACAACCAAATTTAAAAATGTGTTTATATATTTATTTAAAAATAAATCTAGGAAAATATTTCCTATGGTAATGAACAATTGCCACATATTCTGTCAATTGTGTTATTTATTTATTTAAATTGTGTTTGCATTTATTTAACCTAGAATTAATTCGTTTATTTAAACCAGAACGATCATAAAGATATTTTTATGTATTTTTGTTGTTTATGCATAAATGTAATCATTTTGTGACACTTATTTTACTATTATTTATGTACTATTTTAGTTTTTATTAATATTTTGAATTCATTTTTATTTTGACATTTTCCGTTTTCATTTTAATTTTTAGTCATTTTGTTTTATGCTTTTGTCAGTTGTATTCATTTTTGTTCTTTTTTAGATATAACTACTTAGGCTTAATTTAGTTTTACTTCAGTTAAATTTTTTTATTTATTTCTAGTTAGTCATTTTAGAGCTTCAACTTAAACTTATTTCAGTTATTTGCCAAGGCAACATTACTAATTTTCATTTAAAGTTTTCCATCTTATATTGACAGTTTTATTGTGTTTCATTTTGTTATGTGCTTTACCGCTTTTGTTATTTTTTTTATTTCTATTTCTATTCATTTATTTTTATTTCAGTTTTAGTTTTTATTTCCAGTTATTAATTTGAGTACTTTAGCTTAAACGTATTAAAAAAAAAAATTTGTTAAAGGTGGGGTAAGCGATTTTTCAAAAACGCTTTAGAAAACTTCTGTCTAGTACACTGGACGCGACAAAGCGACCGTTGAAAATCTTTGAAGTTTGTGTCAATACGTCATTAATAGAACGCAACAGCAGTTTTCTGTCGGGGATTTGTCGTGTCGTGCCGCGCCGCATCCAGTGTAGATTCTATTTTATTATCGTTGTTTTTGTTATTTTTAAATATTACTACTTGGGTTTAATTTATTTTTAACTTTTAACTTTGGTTTGTCTTTTTTCCAGTTAGTAATTTTAGTGCTTTATTTTAAAATTGTGTTTTTAAAACATTTCGGTTTAGGTTTAATTTATTTTATTACACTCTTATTTTATTTCCAGTTAGTGCTTCATCTTAAACCTATGCCAATTATTTGCCAAGGCAACCTTTCTAATTTTTATTAAGTTTATAATCTAATATTTATTTTCAGTTGAGCTTTAGTTTCATTTTCAGCCATGTCATGTACGTAACATTAGTGTGGAAGAGGACTTGCCTTTGGCTCAGAAGTCAGCATGTTGTACCACATGATGGAGGCCCATCCACTGGGGAGCTGACTGACGTTGGAGATCACGACTATGGGCAGAGACGTGGCCTGAAGATGGAGAGTGAGAAGAAAGTAGATGATGATCATGATTTGGTGCGGTTTATGTTTTTAAACTCGGTTGTTCTGAAGAATCTTCTGACCTCAAAGTTCATGACCATTCCTGACCAGCAGAGCTCAGCCTCAAAGGTGATGGAGTGAAGTTCCTCTGTGACGATCAGAGGGCCCTGCCGAACATTCAAGAAAGAATTTAGCCAAAAATGGCAGTTTGAAAAGCTACCAAGTTTAAAGCTTGACTATACAGAAGCTGAAAAGTGAAGAAGAGCTAAACAAAGAGGGAATTGCATTTCTGCTTGTTTCTTACACTAAATGATTATATGACTTCAGAAGACTAGGAAAACTGAACACAAGAGTTATGGACTACTTTCTTGATCATTTTTATGTGATTTCTGGAGGTTTTTTATGTTCCACATAAAAACGAAAGTCATGCAGCTTTGGAGCAACATGAGGGTGAGTAAATGACAGAATTGACCTTTTTTTAACAATTTAATGACAAGAAACTAGAAATGTGTTCTTTTATTCAGCAAGGATGCATTAAATTGATCAAAAGTGACAGTAAAGACATTTATAATGTTACAAAAGAATTTTAATGAAATAATGAAACAAAAATTTTAAATAAATGTTGAACTTTCTATTTATCAAACTATTCTGAAAAAAACAATTTCCACAAAAATACTAGGCAGCACAATTGATAATAAACTAATAATAAATGTTTCTTGAGCAGCAAATCAGTGTATTAGAATGATTTCTGAAGGATCATGTGACACTGAAGACTGAAATAATGATGCTGAAAATTCAGCTTTGCATCACAGGAATAAATTACATTTTACAATATATCCAAATAGAAAATTATTTATTTCAAATTGTAATAATATTTCACAATATTACTGTTTTTACTGTATTTTTATCAAAAAATGCAGCCTTGGTGAACAGAAGAGACTTTTTTTCAAAAACATTTTGAACTCACCTCACTTGTTCTGTTTCCGGTTACTTTCTTCTCTTTCAGTTGCTGTGAAGTAAAAATAATTGTGTTGCTGTTGATTACTATTTGACTAAATTATGACTTTAAACTGGAGCTACACTATAATTTGCTATTTCTTCTTTTCATTTTACCAGATGACGGAATTCTGCTGCCATCCCATTGGATTCCTCCATGTTCATCACCTTCATGGCCGTTCCCAAGATGTTGAACATGCGAAACCTAAAACAGGAGCAATACTAAGTAAGTAAGTGGAATTTAAATTTTTAGGGTAATTGCCCCTTTAAAATAGTATGCGAATAAGGAAATTATGTAGGACACACCCTTTACGTTTCTCAACGATATCCCTGAAAGATGAAAAGAGACACGTTAACACAATGAAATGCATCTTAGAGTGTTTTTTTAATGCATGCTAAGCTAAAAATGCTAACCACACAAGTGACTCATTACACGTGTATGCTAAATGACTAGCTAATTTAGAGACAAAAAAAATCCCTGATTTACAGTTGAGTCAGAGTATGTACAACACGTACTTGTCGAATTGCACCTTCACCCGGACAGTGTGGTTGAATTCCTGAAGTTTTATGAGCAGCCTGGAGCACAGAAATAATGTGATTCATCATTCATCAACTGAATATTATCCGGCCTTTAAATCCAGAGAAATGCGAATCCTCTGCTGTGTGTTTACAGTTACCGTAATTTGAGGGTGAACAGAACACCAGTCTTCAGCACCAAAGGTCTTTGCAGTTGGGTCGGCATGCATGGCTGTCGCTCGACTACCAAGGAGCTGACAAAGTAGACGACAATAATTCATTGTTAGTGACTCCTTTCAGCAGTGGTGTATCAAGCAAAGTAGGTTTCTTACTTTGTGATGAGATTTTTGAGGTTCAACATGATCCTGTCCTCCAGAGTGCTTTTGCTGAGGGTGATGGGATCGTTGTCGTATGTGAATTTCTGCTCCAGCTCCAGAAGTTTCTTGCGCTGCTGCCTGAGCTGAAGCAGAGATTCTCCTAGAGAAGTAAACCTTATGGAAAAAACAAACACAACACAAAAATATATGATTTAAATGTGATTTTCTAGAGCCTAAAAGTGTGATTTAGCAAAATTATCAATATTTATATACTGTGAAAATATTTACTATTGTGACTATTTCTGTGTAGTTTTGCAAGCAGAAAAGGTCTCTAAAATTGTGCACAAACAAGTCCATTGTCAGTGGGGTTACAAAATTATCAATATTTATATACTGTCAGTATATTTAATATTATCAATATTTCCCTGAAATTTTGCAGACAGAAAAGTTCCATACATTTTTTTGAGCAAAACAATTCAATAGTGTAGCGAAATTGTCACGGATTAACTATATTTCTGTGAAATTTTGCAAGCAGAAAGGGTCGGTAAAATTTTGTTCGCAAAAAAAACATCCATTGTATTCTGTCATCAGTGTATCGAAATTATCTATATTTATATACTGTCAATATATTTAATATCGTCCATATTTCTGTGAAATTTCGCAAGTAGAAAATGTCTATAAAATTTTGTTCGCAAAAAAAAACCCCAATCCATTGTCTACGCTCAATAGTCTAGCAAAATGACCGATATTTAAATATTGTCAAAATATTTGTATACTGTCAATATTTCCGTAACATTTCGCAGGTAGAAAAGGTTTATAAAATGTTGCGAACAAATATAACGAAATTATAACTATTTACATATTGCCAAAAATTTTGCAAGCAAAAAAGTTCTATAAGAATTGAACAAAGCAGCTTTCTAACTTGAACCCGTGCAAAATCTTTCGAAATTCCAGATTGTGTGGATTCCTATAGATACCATTATATTTCTGTGTGGGTATGACATGATGATAGTTTTACTCAAATGAAACGGTCAAATGCTGATGAAGTGACTCTCAGAGCAGTTCTGGAGATGTTGTTCATGTATTTATGTCCTCATTAGTGAGACGGCAGAGGTTAATATCACCGGAAACGTCACGCGCGTTTCAGTACGAGTACTACACAAAACCACGCATCTGTGCCATTCATTAACACACAGACACGCAGAATTCATATTTAAATATGAATCGTTCTGCGGCTTTATATTTACAAATACTAGTGGGAGCGGGCTCACTTGTGTGTGTGTGTTGTGTGTGTGTGTGCGTGACCATAACGTAGGACGCAAATGACATGCGTTCGTGTAAATAAGATAAATAACATAAGGCTATTTAGTCTGCTTAATAAAAGAACAAGGTTCTATAGGAAAGGTAACTTTAAATGATTTCTTTTGTGATCTGGCGCTGTAGAGAAAATATAGTTAAATATTAACTTGACCTTCAAGGGGGGCGGGGGCGGGGGCGGGGGCGGGCCGCCCCCCTAATATAATGGCAGGGGAAACACTGTATACTGATGTTTGACAAAATTTCGAGAGCGAAATAGGCAATACAGAGTTTCTTTATTTTTCAAATAAATAGCTAGTTCTGACCACACTGTAGGCGTGTCAAATTTACTGTCATTTGACAAATTTTCTAGAGCGAAATAAGCAATACTAAGTTTCAGTACTTGCCAAAAAAAACTAGCTAGTTCTGACTTAAGGTGATGTGACATTTACCATTGTTCAACAAATTTTCACAAGCAAAATAAACAGTATTGAGTTTCAGTACTTGTTCAGAATAATAGCTATTTCTGACTAAAGGTTCAGTCATATTTACTGTTGGTTTGGTGAATTGTCGCAAGATAAATAAGTAATACTGAACTTCAGTATTTGACGAAAAAATAGCTACTTCTAAATTACGGTGCAACACATTACCATTGTTTGGTGAATTTTCACGACATAAGCAATACTGATTTTCTATACTTTTTGAATAATTAGCTAGTTCTGACCTAAGATGCGGTTACACGTGATGTTGCAAGCGAAATAAGCAACAGCAAGTTTCAGTACTTGCTGAAAAAAATTGCTAGTTCTGACTTGAGTTGCGTCACATTTACAGATGTTTGACAAATTTTCTAGATTTTCGAGAGCAAAATAAGCAATACTGAGTTTCTATATTTTTCAAATAAATAGCTATTTACTGTCGTTTGACAAATTTTCGTGAGTGAAATAAGCAATACTTAGTTTCAGTACTTGCCGAAAAAAATTGCTAGTTCTGACTTGTTGCGTCGCATTTACCGATGTTTGACAGATTTTCGAGAGCAAAATAAGCAATACTGAGTTTCTATATTTTTCAAATAAATAGCTATTTACTGTCGTTTGACAAATTTTCGTGAGTGAAATAAGCAATATTAGTTTCAGTACTTGCCGAAACAAATTTTCACAAGCGAAATAAGCAGTAATAAGTTTTGGTACTAAAGGTGCAGTCATATCCGTTTTTTGGCAAATTTTCGCGAGCGAATTTCAGTACCTGACAAAAAGTTACTTCTGACTTGATGTGCGTCACATTAGCTAGTTTGGTGAATTTTCACAAAATAAGCAATACTGCGTTTCTATAGCCTACTTTTCGAATAATTTGCTAGTTCTGAAACTTACCATTGTTCCATTTTTTTCGGTACTTCAGTTCTGACATAAGGTACATCACATTTACCAATGTTTGACTAATTTTCGAGAGCGAAATAAGCAATACTTTGAGTTTCTATACTTTTCAAATAAATAGCTAGTTCTGACCGAAGATGCAGTCACACTTACTGTTGTTCAACGAATTTTCGCGCTCGAAATAAACAATACATAAATTTAGCTGAAATTTCAGTAATGTGGCCACACATTTAATGAAAAGTTGTTTTTTGACTACAAATAAGGCATTTTTGAATCCTGTTACCTCTGCTTTGTAGAGTTTTGCTCTTGAAGTCGTATTCGTCTTGCTGGTCTTCTAGATTTTTGATAGTCTGCTCTGTGTCCTGAAGGGAAATTTGAAAAAGATGTTTTACACAACTTTTCTATGAGAATTAGACATAGAATGCGATAGTTTTTGTGTACATCACCTGTACTTTCATCTTTATGTCTTTCACCCTTCCATCCATTTCTCGATGTTTCTCCACGATCATGTCATTTTGGGTGCTTTCGGTTCGATTCTGTAATGAAATACTAATTACTAACGTAATGTCATTATGTGGAAAAGAGCAGCTTGGACAATACTGTGAAATATCTCCTTTTGTGTTTTACAGATGTGCGATAAATTGTTTGTGGTTGAACTATTATTTTAAAATTATTTAGATATATTCAACTTCACGGTTTAGTGTTGGAAATCAGTGGTTGTCGTTTATTAATTCCTGACCTCTGACACTTGGGCAGCGGCCAGAATCTTCCTTTCCTCGCTAAGGTTCCTACTGATGATCATCGCCATGGAAACAGGATTGTCTTGGAAGAGGCTCTGAAACACAAGGTTTGTTAACTCAGAACCTCAACTGTTTGCATGTTGCAAGTTGTTTTTCTGATCTGTTTATTGCCTAATGATTCAGAGGCTGCGACACAAATGCTTAAAGGAAATGATTGTGTAGCCAGTTGCAGACAGGCACCTGCAAGTTCCTCTTGATCTTGCGGATGTTGTGCTGGTTCAGGAAGTCTTTCTCCATCGCGAAGCGGCTGTGTTGGTGATCCAACTGGGTCAAAAGATCATGAAACCTCACGGTGGCCAGAGACTCATTCTCCACATTAGCAACATGGTCCCTTTAAGAGAACAAAGGACAGATGATTCACACCAAATGAAGCTGAAACTGGTTTGAATTCTATTTTTAACATAATTCCTATATTTGTGCCTACATAACGCCTCTTTTATCGGGAAGATAAATTTAATAAGTAATACAAAATGGCAATAAAAACTATTTATTTATGTTGCACTGATTCTTATTTGTCTTATTGAACAACTAATACTGCAGAATTTGCCTTTCTGTTGCCCTCACTAGCTCTGGACAACCCATGATGCCATTTATATGATGTTACCGCAGGTTAATTGTGTGCAGAATATATTGTTTTTCTGGAAGATGTCATATTTGAAGTAAGTTCATCTGAAGTTAGTTTATTAACATCATGTGATCTCAACATGAAGGCCTTATGTACAATAAACAGTTATTTAGCTTTTTTGGTAAAGAGTAGATTTCTTTACCTGTAAAAATGTAAATACAAATTTAAAAATAATAATTATTATTATTAATATTATATAAACAAAATGCACATTTAAAAAGTATTCATTAATATTTTTAAATAATATTATTTTAACATGTTAATATTAATATTCTAATTGTATTAAAAAAATATGAATGCACATTAAACATATTAATTAATATTCTCATGCTCATATTTTATCAAATATAAAAAAAACATGCACATTAAAAAGTATTCATTCATATTTTAATATTTAAATATGCTTATGATTAATATGCTAATATCATTATTCCAGTTACCCTTAAAAATGTTAATGCTCATTTAAAAAAATATCTTACAATTTTCCTATTTTAGTAATATATTAATAATTTCAATTAATATTAACTTTTTAACTTCATAAAAAAGACTGTTAAGAATCAACAGGTTGCTTAGTTTAGCATTATTATACTTGCAAAAGGTTGTGGTTATGTGTTTGACACAGTTGTAAAGATGTAAAATGGTGGTCCGCACCAGTCGTGGCTTTCTATCCAGCTGCTGAGGTACTGCCGGATGGCCATTGGAAAGCTGTCATCGTACAGCTGGTCGACCTGTTCCAAAAACTTTGAATCCAGTTGTTGAAGCTCCAACCACTGACTCATTTCTGCAACTCTGTGGGCTGAGAGTTAAAATACATGACAAATTATGGTTGATAAAAACAGGCCAGTTTTTTGTTGTTGTTGTTGTTTTTTACAAAAATCACATTAAAAGCAAACAAAGCAGATTTCAACAGAGCAAAGCATTTCTCTGCAAGATGCAAGATAATGAGATTTCTATCTCGAATGAATGGCTCATTACATCTTGAGAGCTGATTGTGTGGTGTGTTTTTCTAACCTAGTAGCTACTTACACATTTTCTAAAACTCTTGTGTAAAACTGTAAGTTGTATATTATTATTATTATTACAAATGCACACATTTTTATTGTATGGCAAAGTCTGTAGTGAATGTAGGAGTGTTTTGTGCGTTAAGACAACGAGATATTTAAAAGATTTCATTATTGTTATGAAAATGTTTTCATAGTTTTAGTTTACAGTAGGCATAATTCAAACCAGGACGATAAGAATAACCGAAGTTTGAATATGTATGCTTACATTAAAACAGAACATTAGATTGCGTTACAAGCCAATTATGATACCTTTATTTTATTAATGTATAACATTAAAGCAGAAACAACCATTGTCAAGTAATGTCAAAAAGACTACATAATATTTATTTTATTTGTAATGCTTAAAAACAATGTGTAGAGTATGATTTGGAGGTATTGTTTTTGTATAAATATGAAGTCTTTATATAAATACAGTACAGGTCTACAGTTTCTTCATTCAGACAGCTAGGTAAACGTGGCTGGGTGCATGTGTGTGGCTTTTTTAATACTTAATACTAAATTCACAAAGCTTTTTATTTCTGGTTCTCAGGAGGTTACATTTGTTCAGCAAGTTTGATCTTTCAGTCTGAGTTGGAATCAATAATAATAATAATGCTATATTGATAGATGTTATTTGTATTATTATTAGACATAACAGAATTCATGAACACATGATATTGTTTTGCCTGCATTCACGAGGGCCACATGTAAACTGCAGAAGAGTTTACATATGACCTTACTATATAAAGGCCTTTTATGTTTTCCATTGCGTTCTTACTAGTAAAAATCCTCTAATAACATGCGAGATCTACGGATTACATGTATTCTGTATGAGGATAATATCGCGCATTAATCAAACGTGAGACCAAAACTTCCTGTAAAATTTCACGCAGAAAAAAAAGAACGCGGAAATGAAAGTTATTATTGTGTTACTCACCTCCTAACGTTATCCGAATCCGGTAGAAGTACGAATCCACGGATATATTACATTTGTCTTCCACCGCAGCAGAATAACGCGGAAGAACAGGCCAGTTCCCTGTTATTGTCGATTTGTTATTAATTTCTCCGTAGTCTTCCCGACTCCTTCTGCGCGAGGAGCGTGTGTGTGTTTGAGCGACAGCTGGGTGGACCAATCAGCGAGCCACATTTTGTTTGTGCGTATGCACTAGCCAATCAGCGCATCCGGGGGTCGTTTATGACGCAAGGTGGAATTTTGGACCAGACGTTGTAGCGCAGCCCACGTGATTTATAAGAAACTGAAAGTCTGAAACTGCGTAGTAGACCAGAGAAATGTGCTTATTTCATCACCGCGTAAAAACTGTGGGAGAAATGCATGTTATGATCTCTTTTTGTAGTTTGTTATAAGAAAGTAATTTGTTTTAATAGATGTGGACATGGGGTCAATTAAGGTGAAGGCGCATTAATTGGCAACTTATTGATTGCAGTGTGTGTATTATTGCAACTAATGCATTTTGTCCTGCCTTTTAAATGTTGGCAAGCGTTTTTGTTTGGTTATTTTATTTTTATTTTATTTGATATACTACATAAAAAAATCTAGTGCAACTAACCATATATCGTGCATAGTTAGGACAGCATTTAAATAATTACTTTTTAACGTTTTTTTATTTATTTGCTGTCCTAACTATGCACCATACACACACACACACACACACACACAGTCTGATCAGCTATCCTTGTGGGGACTCTCCATAGGCGTAATGGTTTTTCTACTGTACAGACCGTATATTCTATTGCCCTACACCAACCCTACACCTAAACCTACCCCTCACAGGAAACTTTCTGCATTTTTAGATTTTCAAAAAACTTCATTCTGTATGATTTATAAGCTTTTGTACCCGTGTGGTCCCCACCGTGACACGAGTCCCCATGAGCCTGTGTGTATTCAGATTTAAGTCCCCACCAGGTTATATAAACCAGTACATATATATGTGTGTGTGTGTGTGTGTGTGTGTGTGTGTGTGTGTGTGTGTGTGTGTGTGTATGTGTATATATATAAACAGACACACATTAATATTTATGTATATACTGTATATCCAATATATATAATCAACTATACAACCTCCCTAACTGTTACTATTGAATCACACAGCTAAATGATATGCACAAACCTTTTTGAAAAATCAAATTAAGACATTTATAAGTGCACTCATTGTCCTGGGGACAGACTTCTACTGTTGTTGCCCCACAGGGCCTCCATCCCACTGGGGAGCCCTCCAGAGAACAAAATAACAGAAGAGAGGCTTTAGCTTCCATGGAATGTGGGTTTGTTGGTTTTGAGCACCATAATGTGCTCCACATGCTTGGAATGGTGTCAGTGGTGTCACTCTGTTAAGGGTAACAAAGGGACAACACTGAAGAGGTCCTTTAAGGACACGCGAAAACAACTCGGAGACATCAATAACAGGCATTTTACTTGGTGCATCAGATCAAAACTACAACATGATTTTGAACCGTAGAATCTATATAATTAATTCCATGTTTTAAAAAACATCTCTATGCTCGTCTCTAGCCTATGACATTATGTAGGCTAACTAGTGAATTGGCTATTTAATCAGTGTTTTTTGACAGGAAACAAAAGATGCAGGCTTTTGGGTAGTTGACATGTTCCAGCAATGTCTAAAAAGCATGTAAAGATTATTTGTAAATGTAAAAATGATGACCAGTTACAGCAATAACAGAGTTCTCTTATCCCTATTATATGTCAACTACCCATATGCTATGAAACTGCAGAATTCCTAAAGTCTATTGTTTGGACGTCATGTTGAGTGAGTTTCTGGGTCAGTGTTCCTGTTTTTGGGTCACTGGGGGATAAGTGACTTTATATAAATAATCAACTATACAACCCCCTTTGACATTAATTTAAAACTTAAAGTACTTTAGCATTTTTTACATTCTGCTATCAAGCTGGTAAAGCCCATCAGGTCATCTCAATGCTCAAATGCATTCACAGAGGAAGCCTTATACCTTCATAAACAAAGAAAGCCTTGTCACCTTGGTACTATTGTTCTTGTGTGCAAAAGTCGATGAGAACGAACTAAAAGAACTGGATAAGTTGGTTTGTTGGGATCCTGGTGTGGTCAATTGTTTTAGCAGGAACTATTTTGTCAGGGACAGGGTAAAGGTTATTTTCACTTCCCCTCTGGTCCAAAGTAGTGAGGGCTTGCTGTCGTAGCTACTCAAGAAGCTCAAGAGCAGCCACAAAGGTCCACGACCATTGAAGGGATTTTTCCGTAGATTATCTGCTCACGGTCATTGAAATACAGCATGTTTATGGGTGACATCTTGGTGGGCGTGCAGCAGGGGCCTACGCTGCCCCGAGGGTTGGCCTTGTTGACGATGTGACTGTGGGGGTACTTCTGCACACATTCACCAGAGCAGTAATTGGCCTTGTAACGCTTGGGAGCAATTATCCAGTCCCAACCGAATTCCTCAAAGTCAACGGTGAGTGGATACCGGCAGCAACGGGACTCAGTGGAATGCTCATCGCAATCGAGGCCGGTGTCCCGTCTGGTCCGCTTGCCAGTGTCTGATATTTTCACCTCCAGGAAGGGTTGCTGGAAGGGCGAACGTAGGAACAATTAGCTAAGTCATGGTCAATGAAGTTCAAAAGTGCAATTAAGAACATACTTGATATTACTTGCTATACACCCCAAACAAACTTTACCAATCAAATCTATGTTCAAGCATATAATGACTCTTTGTGGAGTTTGAATGTACCTTGTAAGACAAACCCAGACCTTCGTTCATCTTCAGAACACAAATTAAAAGGGTCATATGATGTTGCTAACAAGAACATTATTTTGTGTATTTGGTGTAATGAAATGTGTTTATGCAGTTTAAGGTTAAAAAACACGTTATTTTCCACATACTGTACATTATTGTTTCTCCTCTATGCCCCGCCTTTCTGAAACGCGTAGATTTTTACAAAGCTCATCGGTCTGAAAAGCGAGGTGTGCTCTGATTGGCCAGCTATCCAGTGCGTTGTGATTGGCCGAATACCTCAAGCGTGTGACGGAAATGTTACGCCCCTTACCATACTGTTGATGCCCTGTCCAGCCGGAACAACGAGACAAAAATATTAAAATCCATTATAAACGAGGCATTTGTTGCATCCAGTGGGGACATAATTACGGATTATAATGACTTATACTGTTTTTTTACGCGTTGCATCGCGCCGCGTAAACATAAAACCATGTCTGCATTTGTGATCGGAGAAATGACAAACAACAAGCGCTACTCTTACAGGCTGAGCGTCAGAACAGCCGGCATTGTAGTCTACTCTCCCAGGATCAGGAAACAGTTCTCCATAAAATGCACTGCACACATCTGAATATTTGGGTTAAACTGTTCTGGAACAGTGTTGTAAATACAACTTAACCACTGATTTCTAGTCGTGTCCTCTTTTGGAAGACCAAACAAAGTAGTTTCGCTTTCACAACGACATTGTTAAAATAGTCCATGTGACGGAAGAGCAGAAATTGTTGAATAAAGTCATTTTTGTTTTGTTTGCACACAAAAAGTATTCTTGTAGCTTCATAAAATCAAAGTCCCTTTAAGACAAGTTATGTCACTTGGCGGCCATCTTTGAAAAACCTCTCGGGCATGCAAGTGCAGCTCCTATCACTTTGTATGGGGAAACATCAAATTCTACAAAACTGCTCAGTAAGCTTGCAATTAAATTTCATATTTGAAATCACCAAAGAAATCTCATAACAACTGTGTCATAAATGTTGTTTCTTTTGCTCAAAATAGCATTATAAAAAGCTTATTTTTCAGGCTAGATCAGCCAGCGCACATGCGCAGTCCTGAGCACACGTCTCAGAATGCTGATTTTTTTTCTATAGCAACCGGGACTTCTAATGGCAGCTGCAGTGACACTCTGACTTTACAGATTAGTGATTGGCTCTTTCATTCAGAAGGTGGGGCTTCCTGCGATTGAGTGGCCATATTGAGTGTTGCATTTTTCCCCATTCAAAACTATACGAGTGACACATCTTGGGTATTCTATAGTCTTTGATCAAATTAAGTTTGAACCCCTGATGTCACAGGGACTATTCTAACAATGTCCTTACTTCCTTTCTGGACCTTAAACGTGTCAGTTACATTGCTGTCTATGCAGAGTCAAAAAGCTCTTGGATTTCATCAAGAATGTTTTAATTTGTGTTCCAAAGATGAATGAAGGTCTTACGAGTTTGGAACAACATGAGGGTGAGAAATTAATGACAGAAATTTCATTTTTGGATGCACTATCCCTTTAATTAGTTGGTTCAGGTGTGTATGATCAGGGTTGATCTGGTTGATCTACACTTTCATAAATCTTTGTCAGATCTGTTAATCAAAGTTTGTCCTGCATTTGACAAGCCAAATATACTTTGTTGGCTCCTAAAGAAGCATGGACCTAAGTACCAATGCATGCACTGACTTACCAGTCCTTCTTCTCCAGATTCTGCAGAGGTCACAGCCAGATCGTTTCCATTTGCATCAAAGGCCTTGATTTCTATCCCAAAGTGACTCTCAGGCTGTTTGAGCCACAACTGCAACAGCTGCTTCATGTTGATGTGCTGCCAGGAGTTTGTCCGGGCGTTCACATCAATTTTTTGTGCTCGTATTCTTGAGTGGTTGCTCCCTTCAGACAAAGACCTCAGGTGAGATATCTGGATGAAGACTGTGGTTGGCTCCTCAGCTGGTCGGAGGTAGATCCAGAGCAGAGCTTTGAGGATGCTGTTAGGCATAATCTTTGGGCTCAGTGAGAACATGCAACACTTTGGCATTCCCTCAAGATGGGTGAAGGCTTGAGCTGCAAGGTATAAAGTTTACTAAGACCATGTATACCTTTTTCACCTTATACTCTCAGAAAATAAAATGTGCAAAAATTGTACCTTTAGGGCAGGGTTCCTCAAATCCGTCCTGGAGGGCCACTGCCCTGCAGAGTTTAGCTCAAACCCTGATCAAACTGACTTACCTGTGATTTTCTAGGGATCCTGAAGACCTTGATGAGCTTGCTCGGGTGTGTTTGATTAAGGTTGGAGCTAAACTCTGCAGGGCATTGGCCCTCCAGGGCAAGATTTGAGGAAGCCTGCTTCTGCACAAGAACTTGTCACCAGGTCAGTACCCTTAAAGGGACAACTTAGCAGCTTATTTACCCCTAAAGGTTCACAGTAGTACCTTAAGGGTACATGTTACTACTCTAATGTACTAGTATGCACCTTTCAAAGGTAGATAAGGTTCAAAGTTGTCCCTTTAAGAGTACAACAGCCCCACTGACAAGATGTTGCACCATCCCTAAACAATAGGCAACTCTGCTCCTGGGACCACTGTCCTGCAGATTTTAGTTCCAACCCTAAAACAACAGATCACTTGAAAATTCCAGGTAGGTATGTTTTATTAGTACATTTGGAATAAAAATCGGAGGGACAGAGGCCCTCCAGGAGCGGAGTTGCCCATCCCTGCAAAAGTTTATGTCAAAATCCTATTGTTGTTAGAGTTACTGCAACAAAATTTTAATTCTCCAATCAGTATAAGAACCTTTATTATTCTTTCTTTACTCTCTTTTTCTGCTGACACAGTTGGAAAATATAAATCACCACAGTTTGATGTAACATTTATGGAGTAACTACTGTATTTTGGCAGAAACTAAGGTTTCCATTGAAAGTCTTTGAAAAGAGCCCTTATTTTCACAGGCCAAATGTGCTTTGTATGTTTCCTCTTGGTGCTCAGCTTTGCGTAAAACAAGGTTTGTTGCCTTTGGCCATCTTCCAACAACAGCTGAATGAATGAACCATAGTCGGTTCATAGTCAACCATTTCAGATAATACAATGGCCCTCAAATGTATTTGGACACTTAAGCCACACTTCAAAAAGTATGAATGTCATTGCATTCAATAACAATATAACAAACGAAGTAGCATCTGCAACTGATGGTCAAACTTTCACAGAAGTAACTTGACATACATTCTAAGTGTGACTTTTGTGTCCACACGTTTGTGGTCACTATATATTGCAGTGCATCTTGGTACTTACGTTCTGTGGCCATGGTAATGATGGTCTCACTGCTGCCTTGTTCCTGATCCTCACTAATACCTCCGTTTTGGTCATACTGATCCAGGAGCTCCTGCAGTGGAGGTGCCTTGGGTAAGAGTAGCTTGACCGTGTCTCTGCTGATATTCGGAGCTTGTTCTAGACGCAGGATGCTCAAAATCTGAGACTTAATGGAGTGCAGGCGCATGAGTTTACTCTGCTGTCTAAACTGACAGGTCGTGCATTGGCCGTTGTCTTCTCCAGGTGTCACAAATGCTTGCAATGTTGTTGCTGCTGCTGTTGAGCTCAAGCTCTGACTGTGAGACCCCAACACACTCCAAAAGCTCAGATAAAGAAGGATAAACATGTTTTCTGATGCGTCTTTGCAGACGTTTACGCATTTGGGAACGGACGGCCTTTATGCAATCTCTCCAAACAGCACTGGACAGATGTTCAGCCTCCCAGGCAATTTTATACTTAAGATTCCCTGCTGTTAGATATCGTATGATTGGTGGGATTGATAGGAACAAGTCCAGATGAGACGGCACAGAGAGGTTCAGGTCTTTAGGTTTTGATTTGAGGATTTATCTTATAAACTTCATTATAATATAGATAATAGATAATTCGTTATAGATAATTCATAATTATCGATTCAATTCTGATGCACCCAAGTACAATTGAGAGGATGTTCTGAGTGTTCTTTTTAGAATGTTTGCATGTTGTGCCTAGGGTATTATGGGTATTTGCTAGGGTGGTTTTTGCCAAGTAAGACATGTTCCTGGATCAACATCTTTTGATGATCCTGGATCAACATTATTGTCCAAAAATATAGACTTAACCCAATCCCTACCCCTAAACCTAACCTTACCCATAATTTATTCCTAAAATCAGAGGGAAATGATAGCTGATTAACAAGGGTGTAGAAGCACATAACCCTGATTTTAAGCCTACAGATACTTCCTGAAAAGTTATATCTCAATTCTGATTGGTTGATTGGAATGTTGTTCCAGGATCAACAAGGATGTTGATCCAGAAACATGTTGTACTTGGTGAAATCACGCTCACCGCGGTTGCTATGAGGTTCATAGAGATCATTTTAGCCTGCTGCTATGTAATTGCTAGGGTGTTCTAAGTGTTCTTTTTAGGATGTCATCATGTTGTTGCTTGGGTGTTATAGTTAATGTTATCAGTGTTGGGAAGGTTACTTTACAAATGTAATAGGTAACAGATTGCAAGTTACCTTATTTAAAATGTAATAAGTAGTTTAACTATTTCAATGACTTTTAAAGTAGTTACTGATTAGATTTGATTACTTTTCTAAATTTCTAACGAATGTTTTTAACTGTTAATCATTTACATAATAATATGTAATGACAAAAAGACATAAATCCCACATTGTGATGTAGATATGTGGGGGTGTGTTAGAACGAGCCATTTTAGATAGGCGTGACTGACTCTTAACTTTTATAAAGAGTATCTCTTTGGATTTGAGACTTTAGTCTTTGCAACTTTACAGATCTTCTTTATGCACCAAGAGCTTGTAACACTCCAAAGAGAAAGGAAAAATTGAAATCGCATCATACGACCTCTTTAAATGGCAGGAGGCATCGTGCACATCAAAAACAGGCAAAGCAACAAATTAATATTATTCAATATATCCTAGCTTTTTACAGAAAATATTCAGATGTAAAACCCTTTGTAATCATTAACATTTTCTTAAATAACTGTGTCGGTTACATTTATTTTGTAATTAAATTACATAACCCTGTTACTCCCCAACACTGAGTGTTATATAGTGTTAGAGTTGGGTTGCCATGTTGTTTCTGAAAGGTTTTTAAAGTGTTGCTATATGTTTGGAAAAAGTGTTTATAAATAGTTGCTATGTGGTTGTTAGGGGTTTCTCTGTGATTTTTAGCTTGTGGCTATACATTTAATAGGGTGTTTTTAAGATACCCTCATGTTGTTTCATTGGGTGTAATGGATCGTTGCTAGGGTGCTAGGTTGTTCTGAAAGGTTTTTAAAGTGTTGCTAAAATGTTGGGTTAAATTCAACCCAGTGCTGGGTAAAATATGGACAAACCCAGCTATTGGGTTGTTTTGACCCAGCATACAGTATATTGTTGATAAAGTGTTTCAATGGGTTTTTGAGTGTTTTTTAGCTTGATGCTATCCAATTGACCCATCGCACGGAGCTTGGATTAATGTCGGTGGACTTGAACTTGAAAAACTGTGTATTGAAGTCTTTACAGGGTTGAAACAAGATACCTTCTGATGTTCATTCATGTTTATTTCATGTTATAACTACTAAAGAGGAAGCAATGATTGGTTCACGTGTTTGAACTGAGGCGCTACAGCGATCCGTCACGACACATTAAAGAGCCACAAAACGGTATATATTTTTGGAATTTCTTACAAAATGACAAAATTTGAAAGCTGACATTTTGTTTCATACAAAAAGTAACCTGCTCTGTCTTGTCTGTCGATGCATTGTCAGTGTCGTCTTTGCTCCACCTTGTATTTTTAACTGTGAGAACATGATGTGTGGCGTGAGAGCGTCACGGCTTGTAGGACATAGCAACAGTAAGAAAACAGGGCGGTCTTTGCGAAGGGTCAATTCAGTGGATGTTCTGAGTATTCATTTTGTCGCATGTTGTAGCTTGGGTAGTTGCTAGGTTGTTCTAAGACGTTTTACGTGTGTATCCAAGCATTTGATAGTGTTTTATACAAAATATTTTCTGCATAAACACCTGAAAATGGGTGTATGAGGAAACACCACCATTTTTATATTGGTGAATGGGCTTTCTTCACTTTTAGACCACAGTTATCTTGTAGCATTGTGATTTGGTGATGGGTTGCCTCTGAAATAAGCAGAGCTGGCGACTGAAGACATTGTTGCCACAGCTGTTCTGTGCAACTGCAGATACAGATGCCTCTGCTCTATCTATCTCTCTTTTCCAGCAGTGCAGCTTTAATAGATGCATAAATAACAACAGATGAGAGCTTGGCAAGGACAGAGGAAGTGGGATATTGAGGGTGGCCTTTGGTGGGTCAGTCACAGCACCACCTGCTGGTGGATCATCAAGTTCTTTCAGAACAAACCAAAACTAACACTCCTCAGAGAGATAAAAGCAGGTGTAATGGAGAATAAAGCTGTGTTGTAATGAGATATTTGGAAAGATAAAACCAAACTGATTAATCTGTTGGATATTTGTTCAGTTTATTGGGTGCATGTTACTCTACGTCTTGTGATAGTAAAAACAGCTTGGTGTGATTACTATCATTACAACTATGAGATCTATGTTGCGGTCAGACAATGGGTGAGTCTACTTAAAATATGACAGCACAAACCACAACTCTTTTTTTGTTTTGTTTTGTTAGTTTTTTTTAATTAATGAAAAATGTCAGGCTCTTTTGCATACCTAAAGAGTGTTACAGTACAATTACTTAATTTATTACATTGTCACTCACTTTAAATTAGTTACTTGGAAGTGGCAAGAAAGGTATTTATACATTGTCTATTGAAATATGAGCGGTGCTTGTCTGTGCAATCCTTGCTGCTATTATCCTAAGATATTTTGGATGGTTGCCACTTGCCAGTGTGTTGAAAAGTTCTTTCTATGGTCTCCTTGCTGGTTGTTCATGTCAAAAGAGCACATTTCGCACGCCTCTTATTCTGGTCCCACCTTTAGTGTAAGTGTTTTTTCCAAAATCTCTCTCCTTAACAAGCTGCACAATTTTATTTATCATTCATGTTTGTAAAGTGGTTATAAAGTGCATTTCGATTAATGCACTTTCAATGGCAGTCTGTGGGTTGTGCACCAGAGGGTTTTAGGTTGCACATCAGCGTGTCTTTACTTGATTTGTTCTTGTGAGTTACAGTCAGCATCATTTCCTCTGGTCGGCCGCCTCCAGTGCTATGTTAGCATTCTCTCTGGCATTCTTTAACAGCGCAGACACTTTTGCTTCAGTCTAAAAATCAACAAACCAGAAAAACTACCATGATCACCAGGAACAATTCCAATTGGCTCTTTGACATTTATGAGTTCCTCAAAACAAGTTTCGTATCTCTTAAAGAGTGGTTATTAAATGCTGAAAAAGTGTGGGTTATTAACATGCACTATGGGAACCCTGACCTAGATCTACAATTTAATAGCAGTTGTTGATACTCACGGCAACCCTGAATGAAGAATCCGTGATGTCCTTCAGGTTTATAATAACGTTGTAATACGCTCCAAATACTGCTGTTTCCAAAGCTTTTGCCGATACCTGCACATGACAGGAATCATGCATTGAAATAACTGCTCATATCAGCTTATTTATGACCGTCAAAGTCATGTTATTTTTCATTTTTCCAAATGCAAAATCAGCATTTTACTCTCAGTGGAAAGTGCTTTGCTTGAAAGGATGTTTTTTTGTCTTGTGTGTGAGTCATCACAAGCATAAACATTACATATTTAAAAAAATAATAATTATATAGTCCAGTCTCACCTGAAGGTCTGATTTACATGCCACATTTCCGTATTTTACCATCTCTTTAAAAACAGGCCACAGTGTGTTTATTCTCTCTGCCAGAGAGAGAGGGACGCCCACCGCTGCCTTCAAACCCTCCTGCATGGCTTCCTCCCTCCTGTACAGTCAAAGAACAACATTCAGTAATTCAGTTCCACTTTAAAATAACTGTAGCCACATTAGGGGTTTGAAATTGTGAAAGGTCGTCTTAGCCACTGTGCCATGTTTATGTGTGTTTTTGCCAATGCAGCTGTAATTTGCATTCTACAACTAAAGAGAATTTACTTTGGCAGTCAAATGCAAGTTGTGTAACATGGTAGTTATATCATCAGGCTCTTCTCTGCAAATATATGTCTAGTCTTTCCTGTTTCTTTTTGTGATGCATGACATGTCTTTGCATCAATCAAATGCTTAAACTGGTTTAACATGATACAGAATGTTCCTTAGTTTTCTGGTGACATGTATTGTCTCTAGTTTGATGGATTATAAGGATGGTTTTGTTTGTTTGAGCTTCAGAGGTGATTAACCGTACCTTTTGATTTCATCAGATGTGGCTTTGGGCAATTTCAGAGCAGCCTGCAATGAAAACACGAAAGAAAATAATTAACACATTTTTTTGTGTGTGACAAGGTATTCTCATCTAGACATATTTTACAGCAATTTTGTTACACAAGTGGCATATATATGCTGGCAAATACATCCATATATTTTAAGTGGCCAACTGTACATTTAAATGTGGTCGTGTACCATGTAGCTGTTAAAGGCTGTTGAATCAGCGTCCACTTTTAATAATAAGTCGTTCATGGCTTCATGAAATGGAGGAATGAGTTTCCTCATCTCCGCATCCAGAGACTCAAACTGCCTCTTCCCGTATGTCATCTGACCGACCATGCAGCCCAAAGCTGCACCCTTACAA